CTTGTTACAATTGTGCAATATTTCCGTTAGAATTTGCTCAACAGTCAGTAGATTATGGCACCAGTAAATCTGATTTGATTTGAAATTGGTCGTTAAAGGCAATTAAGGGCTGCTGTAAAGGGAAATTCAATACAAAGGGTACCTAAAAGTCAGATTTTTTTACTTCAAATATAAAAGCAAGATATTGATATATCATATTGATGATCATAGTATACAGTAATACCCTCTCTGAAAGAAAAACTACATGGAATTTTGAACTTGTTTGAGTGCAGTCTTCGTAAAGAGCTGAAAAAGCTATCACATCTGTTTCGTGCATTTTCAATAAAGAATGTAATATTACGTTTAGACGTTACCATAAGGTACCATAAATTTGCAAATATCCAACCACACCTAGGCATCTGCATGATTCTATGCACTTCTTGATAAAGATAAAGGGTGCAAATGGCTAAACAACAACTCTACACTCGTTTCCCATAGCTATCTGTTACTATTGACAATTATCAAAGAAAACAATTTGTAGGGATAACTAATAGATATAAAAGTCGATGTAGACCTACTCAATGAGGATGACTGATTTTTTAAAACTTTATGTGCATGTGTTTATGTTCATATGATCATCCTCGGAAATTATAAACACCCAGTGACCCCCCCCCCCCAGTGTGGAGTTCTCAAATTCCAAGTAGTAAGTTCATAGGCTTTTAAAATTCTCAAAATTGAACCAGCCTGTTGTATTCATGCTAGGACTTTATATCTATGATGATTTTGTACCAATGTTGCCATTCACAGTTTTCCATTTCTTCAAAATAAAAAAAAATAAAAAAGTTTATCTGGTTTAGATTAGTTGTCTCTATGGTTCAATGCACTAACTGAACTTTTCAGACATATTTATCCAACAAACAAAAATAAAGACCTACCTTTAAAAAATAGCGTCCCTATTGAAAATGATAATTCCGATTGACTTGGTAATCATCGCATCGCAAAATACACTAAATAAGCTTTTTTTATATATATAAAACAATTACATTTTGAGAAAAATAACAAGAGATAACGAACTTTGACAATTGTCAAAAATATAAACTGCCATATCTCCGTTCTTTCTTTGTATGACCTTCAGTACCTCACCACGCTCGTAATTTTCATGCGGTTCAAATGTTTGTTGCTTTTGCTAAAGCCTCGGAGCCCTGAGGCCTTGTAATAGCCCAATCTTTAAATTTTGGCCTTAATCAAAAAAATATAAATTTTTCAATGCTGAAAAAAGACCAAAAATAGTAATGTCAACCAGTCCACCACTTCAAAATAAAAAAAAAACAATAAAAAAGGAAATTTAAAAATTGGCCTATTACATGGCCTTAGGCAAGGATAGATGTAACACATGATTTTTCGGAGATTGTTCAGGAAAATACTGTGGGAGTGGAGATGTACCGAAGAAGTGGTAAAAAAAAAACTCCCCTCCCTATGATGGTGCGAGCTCAAAATTATATAAGAAACAAAGAACAATTCTATACTCTATATTATGCAAAAAGAATCAACGAGTTATCTCTAACCAATTTTTTTTTTAAAGATGAAATTAGTGGGGAAAGGTGGTCAATTCTGCGAGTAGTCCACTTAATGGAGCATATGTTGAAAAATAAACATCATAACTGAAATCGTTTTTTCATACTAACCTTTTACCACGGACTTTTTGAAGCCCCCCTCTTATACATACATATAAAAACATTTATATAAACTCATACATATATAAACTCATAAATTATATATATATATAATATATATATATATATATATATATATATATATATATATATAATATATATATATATAATATATATATATATATACATATACACACATACATACATATTCACACATATACATATTATATACATACATATACATACATATACATACATACACATACATACACATACATACATATACACACATACATACATATACACACATACATACATATACACATACATGTAACATAAATAAACATATACATAAATATACACACATACATACATATACAAAAATACATGCATATGTACATATATAGACATACATGTACATACATATAATATATACACATACATACATAAATACAGCGCACATCAGATATCTTGGCGCGAGAGAGACTGCGCCAAGATTTTTTACGTTTTTTGGTAATGCCCTCTAATATCATGCAAATCAACCTATAATCTTGACACCCCGTCAGCTGATAGATTACACATCTAACTCCACATTGGTGGTTTCCGATATCGCTCAATTACCTATGGGCAGTGACAGTGAGCAGAATTGCTACGTGTTTTTTTCGTGAATAGCCTAGCATTTTGCCGGAGTTCTGTTGCTGTTTTTGGCCAGTGTGTTGTGATGGGTGGAGCTAAACATATGAAAAGTGATCAGGTTGCTGCTATTACAACATTCTGTAAGGCGGGAAAGTCCAATGCTGAAATATCAAATACAACTGGAATTTCATTGTCCAGAGGTGGACAACAAAATTTCATGACTGTGGAGACACTGACCTGCCACTGCAGAAAAAGCAGCCAGGGAGGCCACAGAAAACATCTAAACGCACATTAAATGTGCTCAGGAGGCAGGTGGATAGTAAGCCACGAATAACAGCACCAAAATTAAAAGAAAGGAACCCTGTGTTACTGGCTGATATGTGTGCGAGACCATACAGTCACGGCTCTACAATGACTTGAAATTTTCCCAACGCATCGCTCACAAGAAACTGATTTTTACTCTTAAACAGAGGCAAAATACGGTTGCTTTTTGCAAGAAATATGTTCAGTGGGACGAGGACAAGGGGAAACGAGTGTTATGGAGCCATGATGAGTGTAACTGGAAACAGAGACGGCAAAGTCTATCACCGCCATGAAAGTGATCCATGTGAACCGAGATTCATCCAAGGGACTGAAATATCCAGATAAATTGATGGTGTGGTGCGCCTTTGCTTACTAGGTGTGGGGACATTGGTAATATCATCAAGGAATGTTTTGATGGATGCAGACAGATATTTCGAGCTATTGAGTGATAATTTGGAAGGTTGCTTTGATATATATGTATATATATATATATATAATATATATATATATATATATATATATATATATATATATATATATATATATATATATATATATAATATATATATATATATATATATATATATATATATATATATATATATATATATATATATATATATATATATATATACATATATATATATATATATATATATATATATATATATATATATATATATATATATAATATATATATATATATATATATATATTATATATAATATATATAAATTATATATATATATATATATATATATATATTATACTATATATAATATATATAATATATATATATATATATNCCAGAATTAAAAGAAAGGAACCCTGTGTTCCTGGCTGGTGTGTCTGTGAGACCATACAGCGACTGCTCCATGATGACTTGAAATTTTCCCACCGCATCGCTTGCAAGAAGCCGATTTTTACTCTTAAGCTGAGGCAAAATACGGTTGCATTTTGCAAGAAATATCTTCAGTGGGACGAGGACAAGGGGAAACGAGTGTTATGGAGCGATAATGAGTGTAACTGGAAACAGAGACAGCAAAGTTTATCGCCACCATGAAAGTGATACGTATCACCCGAGATTCATCCAAGGGACTGAAATATCCACATAAATTGATGGTGTGGTGTGCCTTTGGTTACCACTGTGTGGGGACATTGGTAATAGTACCAAGGAATGTTTTGATGAATGCAGACAGATATTTAGAGCTACTGAGTGATAATTTGGAAGATTGCTTTGAGCATTGCCAAACAGACATATTATGTAGGATGGTGCACCTTGCCATAATGCAAAGCTTTAAATCCTATTGAAAACTTGTGGGCACTAATGAAAAACAGATTACGTGAACATGATACCTCATCAAACCCCAAGCTTGAGGCAGCCATCAAAATACACTGACCAAAAACAGCAACAGAACTCAGGCAAAATGCTGATGGCGTGCCAAGATTATTTTGTGATTTGGCATGATGTTAGACAAGTATAACCAAAAAACGTCAAAAACCTTGTCCTGGACCCTCTCGCACCAAGATTTCTGACTTGCGCTGTATATCTGTAAATTACCTACAATCCACAGAGTTGTACTGGCCAATGAATAGTCTTGTTCCAAATGCTTCTTGGCTCCAGCTTTCAGAGTTAAGTGAACAGACTGTAGCTCCCTCCCTCCCCATCTTAATTTTCTTTGTGTAACTTTCAAATTTGTCTCTTCACTACTCAATAGTTATGAGGTGTATCAGCTTAAAGATTTAAGCTCTACACACATTCAAGATAAAAATTGGCCTTTAAGATTTTTTTCTTTTTTTGTGTGTGTGTGTTTTTTTTGTTTTTTTTGATAGACAGCAAGGCAAGACAGAAATTGTAATATTTAGGGGTTGAGGAAGGGTATTGTCACCATAATTGCTATAGTCACTCTAATGGCAGAATTATGTATAAGATTTCCTCAACAGATGAGTTAGAGCATGGCACTGCAGGAAAGCTGCTGCTGCTTGGCTGTGAAGAAGGGATGGTTCACTTGGTAGCTGTGGAAAGTCGGACTGTCCTGGGATCATTTACTCAAGGGGCGTCTGTGCTGTCTGTCTGCTGGGCAACGCCTACTGTTGGGGTAGTTGGACTCAGCGATGGGCGTATGGTTATTGTGGATGCTGAGGTAAGTTTACATTACTGGATAATGTGATATCTCTTTGATATGTAAATTGTTTTTTCTCTAAGAGTATTTTTTCATGTTTGAAATAGGCAATGTGTGATAGACTTGACAATATACTTTGCAGAGAGTAAATCCTTTTTCACACCACTAGTTTTGCTCTTTTGTAGTTATATAGTGACTCAGGTTTTATGCTAAGGGCTGGTATGATGAATGATGATAGCTTTTCTGTTGTTTGTAAAGAAATATAGAATTTCAAGTTTATTACTGTAGAAAGTTTTGTAACATGTTTTGGCCTGGCATATATGCCAAATTATGGCAGATCATGAAAAAAGACCACGATATAAACAAAGTTATATATCTTGAGTTCAGTTTGTCATTTCTCGTTTAGGTTGACTTATATGACCACTCATATGTGTAGTTCTTTCAAAAAAGATGGAATTTGAAATGTTTTATCTTCAGTATTGATGGTACAATACAAGGATTATAAAGAACTATCCTACTAAGTGAAATCTAAATATCCTATTACCCTGTTGCAACCTGGGGGATTAAAGCTTGATCTTTCACAGGCTCTTGTAACCCGGCCACTGTCCCATGACAGTGCCTCACCTATTGAGACTGTAACAGCCTTCAAGGGAGGAGTGCTGGTAGGAAGGCGTGATGGTCTGTGCCAGTTTTACAACCTGAATGGATCTAGCTCCTTCCAGCTAACTGGTTCAGATTGTGACCCAATATACAAGATAGTGCGGGATACCAACTACATCTACACAGCCTGTCGAGATGGATTAATCCGAAAATATAGATGCAGTGACATTAATGTCTGAATGGGGCCTTAATATTTGTGTTACCAATGCCAAGTAGAAGTTTCTGTCAGTTAGGTCTCATTCATTAGTTTTTGTTTCTCACTCACAACTAAAATCAGTCTGCATGTGATAAGATACTGAAGTTTTGCTTTTGTTTCTTTTTGAAAGATACTTCTGTGAGAATTGAATAATATGAGCTACCAGTAAAAAGTCTGAATGATAGAGTCATTCCAGCTTTTTACCTTTTGGAGCCGGGAGATGCAGTATTAATAAGATACTTTTACCATGTACAGCTCAACTCCTTCCAATAGAATTCTGAAAATACAATGCAGGGACATTACAAGTTCTGATGATATTGATATAGCTTTTTTGTATCAATAATCAATCACAAATAAAAAAAAAATCAGGGTCTGATTACAGGCATCTCAACATGTATTCACTTCACTCAGATATTAACATGCATTGGTTTTCCATTCAAATTCACCTTTTTTTTCATAATTCCTTGATAATGTAATGGATATTTGGTTTGATGCAGAGAGGTCTCTCGAGTTTTTATGAAAGGAATTGATTATTGATATGTTTATGCAGTTGAAAGAATTTACCATTGATAAGGAATACTGTAAACTGCTTTTTGTAGTAAAAACAAAAAATACTAGAATACTAGATGATTGTTTTGTATACAGAGTTTCTTTTGTACATTCATAATTTAGATGGAACTGATATATGAATCTAAAATTAAGATTTTGAAAATAACTCACTGAAAATGAAATAACTTATTAGGAATACCTGTGCACTACATGCAGGAAGAATGTTAAGATTTGCTACAGAATTGATTTGCAGGACTATTATGTATTTAGCGGAAGAAACATTTTGAAAATATTACATTAATATATGCAAACTCAAATATGCAGAGATGGTAGTGAATAATAAATATCATGAGGAAATGGTTTCTTGTATCCTGTTTTGGTAGTGACAATTTTCTATATTTATTTGAAGAATATCTAAGAGATTGCAAAATGGAACATGCTATTGTTAACATATCCATCAAGTGGTATAGTTATACAAGTTGTCTCTGTCTGTTACTCTCTTTCTCTTTGTTACACTCTCTCTCTTTCTCGCTCTATTACACTCTCTCTCTCTCTCTCTCTCTCTCTCNAAGTTATATCACCCCCACTTGAGAGTAGACAGATATGTTAATATTAGTTAAATATAAAACTTATAATATGAAGTATTATTATAATAATCTTAGTACATTGTTAAATGATATTATATATATTAAACATACTTTGAGAGTATTAACTTACATGAGTACTAGTTACTATATAAGTAATATATATTATAATATCTATTATGTACATGTTAATGTTATATTAAATAAAATCCTTTGCTTACATATGTCGTTTGTATCATTATACTCATATATCACTATATTTAATATCACACACACTGTACACCTATTGTTTCATTCGCAAAACTATCTATCTCTAGAGTAAAATTCAGTACCGTCTAATATATATATATAATATAATATAATATATATTAAATATTAAATAAATATATATATATATATATATAAAGTATATATTATATATACACACAGAGAAATATTAATATATATTAAGTATATGATCATATCACACACCTATACACACACACACCCACACACACACAATAATATGTATATAAGATATATATAAGTATAGTAATATATAATCATATTATATAATATATACATTACGAGATATAATAATAATATATAATTATCATATAATAATAATAGATAGTAGAGATATATGTAATAAAATCACTATAATCATATAAACTATTATATACCGAGAAATAATATAAATTCTTACTAGATATTATTAAATAATGCTGTGTGTAGTGTGATGCAGGTAGTGTGTTCGATGCTAAGCGTGGGTATATATGCATATGTAAAAAATAGTAAATGTATCCACAAACACACTCACACACACATATATAACTATATATAACATATATAATACATAAATATATATATATATATATATATAAATATAACTAATACATATTACGGTTAATAATAATATATACATATACTATAATATATGTTATCTATAATAGCTATGATTTATCATAATTCATCTATAAATATATAGATATTATATTAACACTTTAGTAGGGTTAACACTAAGTAATATAATAATTATATTAGAGTAAATATAGATGTGTTGTGCAAAAGTGCTGACTGCCGCGGGCAAAACTCAGGTAGGAAAGTCAGAGGTAGGGGCTTGGAAACGTCGTTCTTTGTCGTCAGGGTTATCAATATTGTTGCCTCTGCTGTTCGAGAGGAACTGGGAAGCTGAAGAGGAGGTGGCTGCTCTCTCAGAGGTGAGAGAACCTGGCAGCGGCACGATTAGTGTAGGTGGCTACACTTACTACTGGTCAGGCTGCAGTGGATGATCAAACATCTTCCAGGAGTGCCATCTATCCAGCAAATCCATCCTTGGTAGTAAGAGGTTACTCCAGTCAATGAGCGTATAATGGTAATGAGATTGAAGCTAGCATTTGGCTTCATGGCTCTTATTGCTATGTACGCTGTTACCGATGTTTGTAATCTTGACACGAAAGAGATGTTCTACACCAAACTAACATCTGTGTCCAACAGGTGTCCCTGGTGTGATATTCGTATTGTTCTGGGTGACTTCAATGCGGTATCTGTCTGTGAACGGAGCTGGCTATGAGATGTCTGTTGGTCCCTCCAAAAACATTTTCATAGAACTGATACAACGGTAGTGAGAATAGGCCACCTTTTCCGGGTACTTTGCTAGTCCCAGAAATTGAGATTTCTGGCTCTTTGGTACCAGCGCCCAGACCCTTACATACAATGTTGAATCTGGAACAACGCCGAGGTAATTGCAGCCATATCGACCCACATAACTTGTTAGCACTCGTTTGTAGAAAATCCTCAAGAACTGCAGGGTGTATAGAGGATGCCGAGTTCTGTGGTACTGACCATAGATTGGTTGTGGCTACACTCCGGGTTACTCACATAACTATCCCCCAGCGGTCCAATGGTCACCCCAGTGGTTTTCACTTGGACAGGCTGAGGGAGGGGGAGTGTGCCTGGGATTGCTAAAGCAGTCTCAGTCGTTTCGCAGCGCTTGAACAATCGACGGACCCTGTACTTCGTGGGATACCTTCAAGCGTGAAATGCTTGATGCAAGACAGAATTTCATCTCGCAGGAGACGCTGGATGCCACAGATGCTGTCGTGTGGCTTGTCTAGCAGAGACCAGGACTTGCACCGTTCTCAGATGTGAACTCGTTCAGTGTTAAGAAGGGAGAAGGAACAGTTTATTAGGAGTCTTCCAGAGGAGGTAGAAGGCCATTTCTTAGTAAATAACCTTCGATCTGCATACCAAGCCCTGAGAAAGCTGAACTCCATGCCCTCTTCTCAGGTGACAGCGGTTCGCTAAAGTAAGTGGCCAGATCGTCTCAGATCCAGAGTATTTTGAGCAGCTGTACCGGTTGACCCATCAACAGTTAACAGATGCGGGTAATGCCGTGATTCCGTTGCCGACCCACCCATCAGTGAGGATGCCCCCTCCCTAATCGAAATTAGGGGGGGCGATATCCAAGCTGAAGAGTGTAAAGCAGCAAGTATTTGTGGCATCCCAACTGAACTGTTAAAGCTGATGGGAACCTATGGCGTATGGGTTGCATGCTGTCCTGGCTGCCATCTGGCGGTCTGGTTGTATTCCCTCTGTCCTGTTGAGGGGTGTGTTCATCCCTCTCTGGAAGGGGAAGGGGGACCGATGGGACTGAAGCAACTACCGAGGCTTCACACTGCTCAGTATACCAGGCAAGGTTCTCACCCACATCCTTCTGAGACGTATCAGAGACCACCCCAACTGAGGCATCAGAGGCCGGAGCAATCTGGATTCACTCCTGGTAAGTCCGCAATTGACCGTATCCTTGCGCTTCGAGTCATTGTAGAGCGCCGTCGTGAGTTCGGGCGTGGGCTGCTTGCAGCCTACATCGATCTCAAGAAGGTGTTCGATACGGTGCATCGGGAATCACTCTGGAGATCCTGAAACTGAGAGGAATTCCAACAAAGATTATTGACTAATAGCAAGCCTGTATACTGGTATTGAAAATGCTGTAAAGTGTGGTGGGGGCCTGTCAAGCTCCTTGCACCAACACTTTTCAAACACTTGCATGGACTGGATACTGGGCAGAAGCTACTGTTCAAAGTCAATGTGGAGCAACTCTGGGCAATATCAAGGTTACCGACCTTGACTTTGCTGATGATGTTGCTATTCTATGAGTTCTTAGAATCCTTAGTGGTGGCTCTTGATGCATTTAGTAATGTAACAAGCCCTTGGTCTAGAGGTCTCCTAGACCAAGACCATGATCCAGGACTTTGGGGACATATTAGGAGAACCTGTTCAGTGGGTACGTGCTTGCGGCGAGGACATTGAAGTCAC